TCTCTACTTTTATAACTATATCTTGGGTACGGATCATTCCATAATATAGTCAAGACACAGATATTTTACCCTTGCTTAATACAAAGAATGGCCAGGATCACTTTGTGATGTTCTTAAAAATATTTGAAATAGGTAAAGCAAATGTAATTTTCACTGTACAGATGAGGAAACCGAGCCTCTGAGAGTTAAGAGAATTATCTAAACTCAAATAAGTAATTAAGGTAGAGTTGGACTGCAGAGTAAGTCTTCCGACTCCATATTCTTTCTATAATGACTGGCTGCCTTCTACGTTTATGGTACCTGAATCTCTTTCTGACTTCAGCCTCAGGCCCAAATACATAATGCTAATTAAGGTAATAGGATGAGATGGTAGGTACTGACTTATTAGGACAGAAATTAAATCTCTCTCCCAGTACTTACAAGGGATCATTTCTCCACATTGACATTTCTTTTTCCCCTTGGGACTTCATTTGACTCAGGAATACTCTCCTGACTCACTGCCTGGACCTATAATGATGGTTTTCTGCCAGTGACTGGGCTATGTGACATCACATGGGAAACTTGATTTTAAGAGACCATATCGCTAATGAGATAATCAGATGAGTAGTCTTTGTCGGAGTGGGACTCTTTCTAATTTAACAGGATACTCTCTTTCAAGTCACATTTGCCATTTTGGAAGCACTTTAAAGTGTATATGCCAACTTATAATATATAAGCAGAAAGAGGAACATTCTGTTAATCCCATGGCCAGTAAAAATCATGTGATTCCCAGATGATTTATTAAACTTTCCAAATTCACCTCAATATTGAACTCACAGTGCTTAACGTGGGTTACACACATGACTATGCACCAAAGTCTAATGTTATAAACCTCATTTCAATGAGATGGAAGATTAAGATATATTTAAGATAAAAATAAGAAAATTTTTAGCCAAGAAATATGTGAAAGTGAGTTTCAAGCTTAATGTTGTAAGATGTGCTTGTTGATTTTTTTTTTCTTGTTTTGTTTTTAAACAAGTTCATGTAGAAGAAGGTAAAAGCTCTACTGGGAACCAAAAAATAAAATATCAGATTTGTAGGAAATAATAACATTATTACATGCTTATGTCAGGTAATATGCTAAGTGAAAATTATTGAACATATACTCTCATTTAAATCATATAACAAATGTATGGGTATGTACTATTATCCTCTTTCTATATATAAGAAAATTGAAGTGAAACTATTCAAATTTTCAGATTAAAAAATATAAAATATTTCTTGCTTATACGAATTGCTGATAATAAGATAGTGATGACATTTGGGTAATGGTTTCAACTGTTTGATTGACAGAATGATATACAATTCAATCCTATCTGATTTCGAACTTGAAACTATAATTGCTTTAAATTTCTTACTCCAAACCCTCTAAGACTTATGGCCATTTAACCTCACTTATTCTTTTAATCAACGGACACCAAAATTTAAAAACATACTGAATAAAAAGATTTCAGAGGAATCTTGAACTCAAACAGAAATGATAAATTTTGATTTACTTAGCTATGAGTTTTCTAGGCTGAACCTCTGTGAGCTTTGGTTGCCTCATCTATAACATTACCCCACAAATTCTAAGAATAGATGAGTTGAAATATGTGCAGTATATATAAAATGTGTGAAAGCATCACATAATTTGTTATTGCTATTATAATTATGAATAAGCTGACAAAGAAGTAAAGTTACATAAGGGGAAGTTGAATGCATTGTGTGAATTAAATCAGGCAGCTGTCTTTGACCAGGAAATTCTCTCCTCACACTGCTAAGCATTCATTCTCACTGATCGGGAGCTGCTTCATAGGAAGGGAATGGTACTCTTTCTAGCACAGAGAAAAATCATCCCAGTACTCTCTCTCTCCTGGTACTCTATCTTCGCCCACCCCCAGTTTCTTCAGAGATCCTGGCTACCTTAAATGTTCAGTAAAATGATATCTGAGTTTAACGTGAAGCCAAAAAAATCCTCACAGAGCATAGTATTCCCTCTTCAGCTTAGCTGTGTTGTCATAAAGTAGCCAGAACTGCTATGATCTTTCAGATGGAAGACAGTCATGCTGCTCACCCAGCAGCTAGCCATGCCTGGCCAAGGAGACCCCTCCCAGTCTCATTTGCTTCCAGTGCCAACACAACCAAATTATTAATGCAGAGCAATTAAACACACCAAGCTCAGGTGTCTGTACTTTAGGCAATATAACCAAACAGGCCCAGGGAGAAAACTCCTCGGGTATACTATTAATCCTGGGGGTGGAATAGGGGGTGTTGGAAGCTTTAGTTAACAAAACACTAAGCTATAAAGCACCAGAGTGTTCCCAAAAGCAAATACCACCAAATGAAATTCAGTCGACATACCTTCTATAGGCCAGAGCTACTACCAACATTTTCCTTCTGCAAAATGTTTACACTGCAGACTTTTGCTGGCCTCTTCCAACCTGGTATTCCTCAGCAATGAAGTCAACCTTACCAATGCATCAATCATTGATGTCTGATAATTCAGTAAAGATTAACATCTATTTATTGGTCAGAATAATTCATTCTAAGATGCTAAAGAGGTGCTTTGTTTTAATATATTGTAGGGTTATTTTCCTTTTGGTAAAGCTCAGTCATGAGTAAATTAAAACTGCAAATCATAGAAACAGAAATGAAACACTAAACTGTCCCTGAGCCACAATTACTCATCCTTAGTGTATTGCATTCCTATACATTCTAAGGCTGTCAGATGGGAAAAGAAAGGTGTCCAAGTTCCCAAAAATGTGGGATTTGTGAGTCATAATTACATTACTAATCATAATTCTGACACACATGGGCATCACTGAATGAGTGGTTCTGCTTACAGGAGGAGGAGGCCACCTTGGCCTTGGAGAAAGAATAGCCTTTTCAAGTTAAGTTTATGGATGTGTAAATATAGAGCACTTAATGCTGCTTCTCTACCTAAATGTCTCCATAAAGTGCAAATTAATGCAGATCCTAACTAGGCATTTGGAATGCTAACCTAGTTTTCTGTGTTTAGATAATAGCTAGCAATTTTGCTTACACTTTTATCCTCTCATTACATAGCAATAATGATTATTTAGTAAATACATGTGAAGGCCAGGTACTACCTATCACTCCTCCTGGGTTGCAGATAACCCCCTGCTAATGCTTCTTTTTGAATCATTGATTTGCTGATACACCAAATCAAATGTTGCTGTGACAGATATGCCACTAATACCTCTTTGGGAGGCTAGGCTTATTCCCTTTTGTGGTTGTCTGGCCAAAGTCAGGGTCAGGGTAGTGGACAAAGAGGATATTGGGAGGAATCCAGAGCTCAATGAATATTAACCCTTTCTAAATCTTAAAGAGATTCGGATAGCTCACCTCGTTCACAAAAATATTTATGATACTGGATAAGGGCAAGAAAAATCTTTTCTATAACTTGTGAGATGTTGTGGAATGGAAGAGAGAGAACTTGAAAGAAACATGGAGAAGAGATGTCACCCAGTTCATCCCTGGACATATGACTGACAGAAATCTTTACAAGTCATCTGGGAATTTGTACTGTCAGATGCAGGGTGGAGGAAAAGAAGTCTGTCTAGAAGAGATGCCATGACTTCAGCATCCTTGTTCTCGTCTGCCAGGTATACAACACATCTCACAGAAGTATTAACAGCGATAAATGTCTTTGTAGGATGGCCAAGCCCCAAACAGAATAATTTTGGACAATAGATTCCTATTCCTGCTCCATGAAAATAGAAATTGAACAGTGGCATTTGGAACTAGGTCCATGGTAAGGGCAAAACAAGGATTTTTAACAATCAGGGTCAGGTCTGGCTTAGGAGGTGGGGACTGGTAGGGCTGAAGGAAGAGGCAGGACACATGCCCCTCCATTCAGTGCTGCTCAAATGTGTCTTCTAGAAGGGGCAAGATTCCTGCTCTCTTCCTCTGGTGACTTCATGGGATGTTGGCTGAGTCCCCAATTCTGCAGAGGGAATGCAGGCAGAAGGGAGCACTGCAAATGGGCTTTACCCTGGGCTGCTTAAATGGCAGGTGTGGAAGGAAATGGGGTGGGTCCTGTGGATGGGAGGAGCCGCTCAACTGGGGATTTCTGCTGGTCTTGGGGCTTTCCCTTCCAGCTCCCTCAGGTCTCCAACGTCTCCAATTCCTTGCACCAACAAAGACACTGCTCAGAAATCAGAGTTCCTCCCGTCACAGAGACACTCAGGCACGGGCATGCACAAGCCCTGTATCATTCCCTTCCACACCCTGGGTTCTCCTTTGCTCCTAAAACCACGCTCTGGCAGGAGTAGCCAGGGATCAGGGGCTGAGCCAGCACCTCCCTGCCAGGGGGAATTAAGAAAGACCTTGATCTAAAGTGAAATTCATGATAGTGGGTTGTTTCAGATTTATTTTTCTTTTTATTTGAGGTAGAGGGGTTGTGCCGTGTGTCTGGAGGTTTCAAATCATCACAATCGGTCCGGCTATGTTTGAGGAAGGCATGGAGGACCTCCACACCTCTCAAGTCCCTGCTGTTACCCTCCAGTCCCGCAGCTTCCTGCAGTCTCTTCAAAGTGCCTAGATACCTGGGCAGGGCTCTGCGTCCATCTTGCCAGCCCAAAACCACAGAGTTTGGGAACTTTGAAAGCCAGGGGATGGGGATGGAGGTTGCCAAGGCTCGGATTTCGGCGCCAGAGTTCTCAGCCAGAAAAGCAGTTGAAAATCAACACCCATCTGTCTCTGCTCTCATCCCCTCAACCCTTCTTCTCTCTCCCTTCCAGGACTCCACAAGATCTAACTCCCCCACCCCTCCTACCCCCCCC